ATGAGAGTATTAGCAAACTCATTAAGGCTTTGTTTAAAACCTACTTTGACATTTTCTATAAATCTTTGATTAAGTGACTCAGGCATTAAAATTTTATAATTGATACGGCTGAGCAATCATTAAACGATCAATGGTTATATGGCTAGGTTTAAAGGAGATCTACCTGAAATTTTCTCAAAAAACAAATTGTCATTTAAGATGTAAGATTTAAGATAGAAAACGGTGTATTCCGAAGTATTTGGTGCAGCAATTTAGGGGCCATAGTTCGCCGATGTGACTTTACTCTTTTCCTTGTCAGTCTCTCGGATTTTTCCCCCCTTTTTTATCAGGTGAATGCGCGAACGCAGTCTCCCACACTGTAAAAATACGTACTCGAGTCACCCTTACCTTTAGCAAAAGAGTGCGACGTTAAGTCAGATGTGATAAACGTTGCTGATCGAAAATGCCCACAGGAGTCATTGCAGGGGGTGAGCCAATGCTAGATGCTATTCAAAAGCCTCATCCGTGGAGAACCTCTCTGCTGATCAAGGTTCCTCCTGTACCGGGAAAGTCGGTATTTGTTTTGATTGGTAGATGACAAGTTAATGTCATCTGATTTCTAGTCTACCGCCCTTTAAATAGTTTGTAAGTAATCTGATCTTATCTAATTAAGAATCAAACCTAAGATACAGTAACTAAACAACGGTCGCTAACAACACTAAAACAAACCCAATTGGTCCTTTGTTTCAGCTATATATATCAGGTCTTGATTAGCAATATTCATTCAGTGGTTACATCTGGCCTTGGATAGCTTCACAACAGCTACAGCAAGTTCCCGTCTTCCGACCTTAGTCAGTTTTGAATATAGCTCGAATTTTCTAAACCTTCAATATGGTGAGTACATCTTTTTTTTAAGGATTAATTGTGTACAAACAAATTATGAGATTGTATTACGACTGGAAATTATCAAGAATATTTGCGACCCAGACACAAGTGTTGAAGATGTTAGATTCTTCATAAGTAAATCTGCTAGCTCATTTTAGTTCAATTTCCAACACCCTAACGTTCGACCCTGGACTAACAAGCAAAGTAAGAAACCTAGGCGTACTGAAGTTACCCAAAATCAAGGCAATATCGTAAAAAATGAGCGAGAAATAGTAGTTAGACTATCAAAAATGTGTTGCTTGAAATGAAAAATCTGGTTTCGGCCAGCCTAGCAATTCAGGCCCTACTAGCTCCTCAGACGTGATATACTTTGACGTGCTATATTTCGGCACGACTCTTCCACATAAACTTCCAAATAACTCTAGAGTGATATTGTTACCTTTTGCCCTACCATTGACCAGTATATTCCTATCCTTTCAGCGTGAGTGTATCTCTATCCACATTGGTCAAGCTGGTGTCCAGATGGGCAATGCCTGTTGGGAGTTGTACTGTTTAGAACATGGTATCCAACCTGATGGTCAGATGCCTTCTGATAAAACTATTGGAGGTGGAGATGATTCCTTCAACACTTTCTTCAGTGAGACTGGAGCTGGTAAACATGTTCCAAGAGCTGTATTTGTTGATCTGGAACCAACAGTTGTAGATGAAGTCCGAACTGGAACTTACCGCCAACTCTTCCATCCTGAACAACTCATCACTGGTAAAGAAGATGCTGCTAACAATTATGCTCGAGGTCACTACACTGTTGGTAAAGAACTCATTGATTTGGTTCTTGACAGAATAAGAAAGCTGGCTGATCAATGTACCGGTCTTCAAGGATTCCTCATCTTCCACAGCTTTGGTGGAGGAACCGGGTCTGGTTTCTCTTCCTTGTTGATGGAAAGATTGAGCGTCGATTACGGCAAGAAATCTAAGTTGGAGTTTGCTGTTTATCCTGCTCCACAAGTATCAACAGCTGTAGTAGAACCATACAACTCCATCCTTACAACCCATACCACTTTGGAGCATTCTGATTGTGCTTTCATGGTGGATAACGAAGCTATCTACGATATTTGCCGAAGGAACCTCGACATTGAAAGACCAACCTACACCAACTTGAACCGATTGATTGGTCAAATCGTCAGCTCCATCACTGCTTCACTCCGATTTGATGGTGCCCTCAACGTCGATCTTACTGAGTTCCAGACCAACTTGGTACCTTACCCACGTATCCATTTCCCATTGGCCACCTATGCTCCAGTCATTTCTGCTGAGAAAGCCTACCATGAGCAACTTTCTGTATCTGAAATCACCAATGCCTGTTTTGAACCAGCCAACCAGATGGTCAAATGTGATCCTCGTCATGGTAAATACATGGCTTGCTGTATGTTGTACCGAGGTGATGTTGTTCCCAAGGATGTCAATGCTGCTATTGCTACCATCAAGACCAAGAGAACCATCCAATTTGTCGACTGGTGTCCAACTGGTTTCAAAGTAGGTATCAACTACCAACCACCAACTGTTGTACCAGGAGGTGATTTAGCCAAGGTCCAGAGAGCTGTTTGTATGTTGAGTAACACGACTGCTATTGCTGAAGCTTGGGCTCGTCTTGATCATAAATTTGATCTGATGTATGCTAAGAGAGCTTTCGTCCATTGGTATGTTGGTGAAGGTATGGAAGAAGGTGAATTCTCTGAAGCTAGAGAAGATTTAGCTGCTCTAGAGAAAGATTATGAAGAAGTTGGAGTTGATTCTGTTGAAGGTGAAGGAGAAGAAGAAGGGGAGGAATATTAAGATGTAACTAAATTTGAAACCGTTCAATAAAATAATGATTACAAGACGTTTTGTAAATTTCTGGAATGGGCTGGGTTAACATTTGAGTGGTTTTCAGTCTGAATCGTCCAAATCATCCTATGAGATGTTATTCCACAACTACCATGTATAACTCCGTACAATGAATTTCGCATATGGACTATTTAGCAAAAATAAGCCGATAACAGAATTTATATAGCATTTTCCTATTTTGAGACTCCAGCTTGTAAAAATTTTTCAAAAATTCGTGCAGAAATTCAACTCTTTCCCTTTCCTTTTCCGTTTTTGGCACATGTTTTTGTAATGGCCCATATATGTGTTACAAATCCTTCCTTCTTATGGCTATAAATGGACCTTTAAATAGCCTACAATTGATCACCGTGTGATTCTCTCCAATACTTTGACTCTGGTCAAAAGAAAACCGGTCAATAAATAGCCGTTCTTTGTATATGGCGTATAATTGGATAGAGATCACCATTTCTTAGGGACAAGGTTAATGTAAAAAGCCCTATCATCCCTTGTAGTTGTAATTTCGAGGGCAAACCCATCGATTTGTACCCTGGGTATCCTGCTCGAGAACGACGCTAGTTCTGACGGTGGCATGGGGGTACAAATACTATCTATTACCATTCTTACAATCGCTTAAATTTAATTTGCAAAAAAGCATGGTGGTTTGGGTATAGGTCATTCGTATCCTGAATGGCGGTTGTAGACTCGCTCAAAGAGACTTTAACAGAGTACGTCATCTCCTCATTCTGATACGTCCCTCCCCATTCCAGTCCCCCACCCTCCATTCCCATTGCCAACCCCTCTCTACCCCTCTCCCCCCAAATCCGAAACGCCCCCTCCCATACCGATACTTGGTTCAGCATGGTAGTTTGGGCAAACCTGACCCACCGCACTGTCCTGATTGATATGTCGGTTGACAAGTTTCTGTAGAAAAACAACATCATATGATTACAATATTATTACTTTCTAGGTTTCTTATTAAATATCTTGACCTGGCATTAGTTTGCCATGACATTGGCATTGATTTTTTTTTTATTTTACAGCAAGGAATGAATTTTGGGCTTTTATGCTTCAAGCCCTCCTGTTTAGTTTTTAGTCTACTTTTAATGGAGTTTTACGTCCTCTTTTTTTTATGTAGGTCTACCTGATGGGGCTAAACATGATGGGCGACACCTGGCAGTATGCAATAATGGACATTTTGACAGGAAAATGATAAATCAGTGATGTAACATAGCAAAAAGCCCATGGCCGAGCATAGACATTATAAATTATAATCTCTCGAGGGCTTGGACCGATGCAGTAAATAATTCGTTGTCGTCTGAAGTACTCAAGGGAAGCTACTCTTAAAAATAACTCTTCATTAAAGAGGTAGAATAAGTTGTCCTGTGATGTTGATAAAATTTTATTTTGCATTGAGCTTTTGATGTGTAATGAAAATTAATGATCTTGTATCAGCTGGAAGAGGTTGACACTCGAGAAACTAGAAAAATCAATGCCCCTGACAACGTTATTGCCCAAATTTGAAAATCATTGGGCTCTGATTGTCAGGAGATGACATATCGTATAAGGTGAGAATTTGGTTTTTCTACTCAATCAGTGATACTTTAGCTTTAATTATTGATGACTTGTTTGTTATCATTTACAAAGATTAGTCTGTTTACATGAAGATATTTAACAGGCTGCTTTCACTTCAGATGGTCATGTTATAAGATGACAACACACAACCACCCATGTTCCATTGATATTTTGTCTGTTGTATTGCCTATCTGAAAAACTGAAAGTTGAAGCATATGTCAACTGCACCAGGAAGAGAAAGAGGGGTTCTAGTTAAGTAATGGAAGGATAGGTAGAATAGTTTACAGAATAGGTTGCACATTGTACATAGATTGTCAAGGAAGTAAACATTTTGATATGCTAACAGAATAGGTCATCAGAACTTTTCATACCCAGCGCCAGAGGCAGAAGAATTCTGTAGATTACTGAAATCTTATCATTTCAGTGGGATGCTACAGTTTTTTCAACAATGGCTGTTGGTAATCCTAGTCTTTCATATCTCAATCTTCCATATCATATCACCTGAACCCACTTCCCGCTTGTTTCTGAAGAAAATACCGTTACCAGATCATGTGACAAACCACAATACTATTTTATGCTGGACCATAAAGCTTGCCAATGATGCTGAAAACTTTTATTTGGATGCAAAAAAGTTGGATTTGCTGTTTTATTCAAAGTTGGAATTCGATGAGGATCATCATACACTTTGTTACCAGCCAGATTTGAACCTAACAAAGTTAAAAGACTTGTCAGATCATCACCATAGTATTAAAGAAAAGAATCACCACCATTTTAAGTACTTGGAAGATTTACTGGAATCATTTTTAGACTCTCATCCCAGTGTAGAATGGTTTACTCAAGAGACTCTCCGATCTCGTCAAAAACGAGCAGTAGCTTTTGTTGATCCATATTTTACCAAACAATGGCATTTGGTAAGTTTTGAATTGAAATTCTTGAATTTATATGAATGAATGAATATAGAAATATTTCAGGTTTCAGACTAAATGCAAAATACTTTTAATTTGATGTTGGGGAACGTAAATAATGATGTTACCTCTGTCTGTAGCCGTAGTTTGAGATATATGCCAAGTTGCTAAACCTCAGTACCAATAAACATTGTTTATCAATTTCTTGATTTCTGTATTCACAGGTTAATCGTCAGTTGGCCCATATGGATATTAATATAACTGGAGTTTGGGAGAGAAACGTGACAGGTCATGGGGTCACAGTGGCTGTAGTAGATGATGGTTAGTCCACTTTTACTTTATTGAAATATTCTATTTATAGTCCAGTTTCGGCCAATCAGATTTCTATATTTTCAACAGTTAAGATTCTTTTCATAATAATTTTTGACTTCTGATTTTCAGTCAGATGTCTGTTTTTCCCCTTTAACTAAGTGTTTTATGATGTAACTATCCTTTGTGACAATGAAATAATGATCTAAATACAGATTTGAAATATGCAAATAGAGGTAATAAATGTCCCTGATACACATAGAAAGCTTAGATAACCTCTTAACAATTCCTGTAATCCAATGCTTATTTTTCAGGAATTGAATGGACCAATCCAGATCTAAAAGCTAACTATAATTCTATGGGAAGCTGGGATTTAAATGATAATGATGCTGATCCTATGCCTAGTGAAAGTAAAGGTATGAGATTTTATCCAATGTTGGCAAATTTGATAAGACAAAATTCGCTAGTGTTTTGTTTTTGTCTTTTACTGGTGTTCGAAAGTACTGAAAATTTTCTTTTAGATCCAAGAAAGAAATCGTATCATTTTTTTGTCATAGGTTTTCATTGACTGTTATAAGGGTAAAAGACTGTTGTATTTATATTTTGATGTATATTACAGTAAACAACCATCATGGTACGAGATGTGCGGGAGAAATAGCAGCTGTAGCGAATAATGATAGATGTGGAGTAGGGGTGGCTTATACTGCCAGAGTTTCAGGTAACTTCATCTTTAACATCATCATTATTCCTGATTTTCTTTCCATTGTAATCAAACAAGTTCTTTACTGCAGCCCTATTCTAAATTTAAACCAATCAAAACGTGTCATGCAGAATCTGTTTCTTGATAACATTCTTTTGTCTAAATATAGGCTTTACGAACTGATAGAGCTGGATTTCAACTATACATAGTGCATTTGAAAATCAAAATCAGACATCCTGTTCTACTACAATTAAAAAAGAAATTGACACAAAGTTTCCATAACTGCTATTGTTTTATCCACTAGGTTTACGAGTATTAGATGGACCAATGACTGACAGTCTAGAAGCTACAGCCTTTAATAAAAAATTACAAATTAACCATGTTTACAGTTGCAGGTAAACCTTTTGACGTAATAATACCATAGATAGAATTATTTATCACAAAGTGTAGGGTTTCGTTCAGTTCGTGCAACTCCAATAAAGTTGCTAACATTTATTCATCTGCAAAAACCTATGGCAGGCGTCCATTCGACTTCACAGTCCGTTTGTAGTTGTAGTGCTTCAATAAATACGATTTTTAGTTGACATTGTGTTTCTTTTCATTTAGTTATATCAACATCAATAACAGTACAACATGACATATGTGAAGTAGATTAACTGAAAGATACAAATATTGAACTTAAAATATGCTTAGAATATAAAGACCGTGTAAGAATTGAAGTTTAAACACGTCCATGCTAAGCAACCGGCTTACTTATTTGACATTTACTAAAATGAAGTCTAAATATGTTTAAAACTATGACAATTAATGAATGACAGGGATTGACAAGGCTCATGTATGCAAAAGGATTCTTACACTAAATATTTGCATTAAAATTTAAGGGTTTAGGGGATTATACAAGTCATAATTTAAGGAAAATAAGAAATAATTATGGTAAACAATGAATTTGTCAGCCATGATGGTGACGTCAGAGTGCACTAGGGAAATTCCCATTTGACCACATTTTTTATGAAAACTTATAATACACTACAAAGTTGACAAGATAATATAAAGTTAAAATACGCGATGTTTAATTAGACGTTAATGCAGTAATATATATCATACCGATTTTGTTTCTATCCACGGCTTTTGCATACAAAACATAAAAGCTTGCTTCGTTAAAAATATTCATATAATAGTAGACTCTTGTTTCCAGTCATACTCATTTAGTCTCGTTCAAAAGTCTCATGATTGCAACTCGTGTTATTCGTGTCACTCGATATGTGTTCCGTGCATGTTTGTAGGCCTACACAAAGACAGGGCAATATTATTAAATAGCTCACTTCTTTAATAAAATTATTAAACACATCATGTTTCAGCAAAGTTTACAAGTGTCATCATCAGATGAAATAACACTTAAAGATTCTTTTTTACCGCTTTTTTCCAGTTGGGGCCCAGATGATGATGGTAAAACAGTTGATGGTCCTCATATTCTAGCTGCTGTAAGTATCAAACATATTCTAGCTGCTGTAAGTATCAAACATATTCTAGCTGCTGTAAGTATCAAACATATTCTAGCTGCTGTAAGTATCAAACATATTCTAGCTGCTGTAAGTATCAAACATATTCTAGCTGCTGTAAGTATCAAACATATTCTAGCTGCTGTAAGTATCAAACATATTCTAGCTGCTGTAAGTATCAAACATATTCTAGCTGCTGTAAGTATCAAACATATTCTTGCTGCTGTAAGTATCAAACATATTCTAGCTGCTGTAAGTATCAAACATATTCTAGCTGTTGAAGTATCAAACATATTCTAGCTACTGTAAGTATCAAACATATTCTTGCTGCTGTAAGTATCAAACATATTCTAGCTGCTGTAAGTATCAAACATATTCTTGCTGCTGTAAGTATCAAACATATTCTAGCTGCTGTAAGTATCAAACATATTCTAGCTGCTGTAAGTATCAAACATATTCTAGCTGCTGTAAGTATCAAACATATTCTTGCTGCTGTAAGTATCAAACATATTCTAGCTACTGAAGTATCAAACATATTCTAGCTGCTGTAAGTATCAAATATGAAGTATGGATCAAGTTGATGTATTTATGAATGACTTTTAGCTCGGCACGTGACCAAGATTAGAAAAATAAATGTGAATTGTTGCTTTGGAATATTATATTACCTCACATTTAATAATTGATGAATGATTATTTTCAAAATTTTACAGAAAGCTATGAAATATGGTGTAGATTATGGTAGGGGAGGCTATGGTAGTATTTTTGTCGTTGCTAGCGGTAATGGAGGTCGTCACCATGACAACTGTAATTTTGATGGATACGCTAATTCCATCTATACTGTTACGATAGGTTCGTATTTTTTTTTCTGACTGTTTGTTCAAGTCTAATTACTGTCTTCAGGAATATTATTCTTTTTTTTTGCTTTATTATCTTAAGAGACAAATTTCAGTTATACATTGTACTTTTTAGAATAAGAATTCCAGGTCGGGCTTGTCTACAATCAAAGCAAAAGGTACAAACAGAAGTGCAAATAGTCCAGGTCTCCTTAATGTGTAGAGTTTCAAAGTAATTTGAGCATTGCTATTTCAGTATGTAAATACTAAATTTCATTGTCAAAAAATGGTCCTCATGGTTTTGACCGAATTACACAAAATGTCTGAATTTCTTGTTTTCTATAGGTGCTGTAGATGAAATAGGTCATATGCCGTACTATGCCGAGGAATGTGCGTCTATGCTGGGGGTAACATTTAGTAGTGGCAAGGCTAACAATAGAAATATAGTAAGTCAGAATTTAGACAATTGTTATATTACTTTACTCTATTTTTCAACTTTCAAATGTTCAACTTTCAAATGTTCCCATGTTCTTTTCCATAGCATACGGTAATAAGCTTGTGCTCTTTATAGAATTATTTTTTCGACATCTGGAAATATCGCGAGCTGATTTCCAATTTTGGTAAATGTCATTATTTTAATCGTTGTTGCTGTAGGAAAGATAATACTCCTATTAATAGTCCTCAAAATGTAAAACTCAAACCATATTATAACAGAACTTGAATCATGTTGTTACTCAGAGTTTCATGCTATGCGATCTTCAGACAACTCATCCATTTCAGTCTGCGTCAATACTGAAGTTTGACAAGTAGAGATCTTCAGACAACTGATCTATTTCAGCCTGTATCCCTACTGAAGTTTGACAAGTAGAGATCTTCAGACAACTGATCTATTTCAGCCTGCGTCAATACTGAAGTTTGACAAGTAGAGATCTTCAGACAACTGATCTATTTCAGCCTGCGTCAATACTGAAGTTGGACAAGTAGTATTGTATTATCGTTGTAGGTGACTACAGATTGGACTAAAACTAGTAGAAATGGTTGTACAGTTCATCATTCAGGAACTAGTGCCGCGGCCCCACTAGCTGCTGGAATGATAGCCTTAATGTTTCAAGTTCGTCCCTGTTTAACTTGGAGAGATGTTCAATATATTATTATTATGACTGCTTTAAAGGTAAGAGTTATTGCCCTTGCCATGGAGAAATTGTTGCTGTTGGTCTTTTACATGTTGCTTCTCTTGTGATATTGGAAAACGTGCTAATTGCTGGGATCATCAAATTTCGGTTTCGTTTGCTTTTTAACAAACCAATCAGTCGACATACCAGACCATCCATTACACTGGTTTCATTCTTCCTTCAACTTATGGCAAATTTTACATCATTGCACACTGCATGGCTTAACTCAATTAGTAACCCCATTTCTTTATTTTTAGGTGGATGTAGATTTGGCCCACTGGCAACAAAATGGAGCTGGATTAAATCATAGTCATAAACATGGATTTGGATTATTGAAGGCATGGAGATTGGTTAATGCTGCCAAGGTACAGAAACTGTTTTAATATTGCACTTTATTAAAAAAAAAATTAACCATATGATTGTTCAAATGGATGGTAAAAGTGTCTCTTTTGATAAGAGGCATCTTGATATTAAATGTGTCTCTTTAAAGACTTTGGATAAGAGGAACCTTGATATTAAATGTGTCTTTTTAAAGACTTTGGATAAGAGGCATCTTGATATTAAATGTGTCTCTTTAAAGACTTAAAGATAAGAGGCATCTTGATATTAAATGTGTCTCTTTAAAGACTTTGGATAAGAGGCATCTTGATATTAAATGTGTCTCTTTAAAGACTTTGGATAAGAGGCATCTTGATATTAAATGTGTCTTTTTAAAGACTTTGGATAAGAGGCATCTTGATATTAAATGTGTCTCTTTAAAGACTTTGGATAAGAGGCATCTTGATATTAAATGTGTCTCTTTAAAGACTTAAAGATAAGAGGCATCTTGATATTAAAGTTATATGATTTTTATTAATAGATCTGGGAAACAGTACCATGGATGACATCATTTACCTACAGTAATGATAATATAGACCAAGTTATACCGAAAGATGTCAATAATCCATTAGTTATACAGCATATAGGTACGACCATTCTAAACATATTAACACAGTAAGGTGGGATGTAAAACTTCATTTCATTTCATTAATACGTGAGATGCTTCTTCTTGTATCACAGAAGTTTGTAAATGTAATGAATTGATAGGATTGTACTCTAGCGAATACAGCCAATCAGAGGCCTCGACAGAAAGTCTGTGAACACAAGCCATAATGTTTACAGCTTTTCTGTGGGGGCTCTGATTGGCTGTATTTGCTAGTGTACAAAATCACAACTTTCTGTGATACTAGAAAGAGGGTTATTGCAGTCATGATAAAAGTAGGAAGTTATTGATATTGTGAAGATGAGTAGATGTAAAACAGTGTAGTTACTTGTTTTTGTTTTATATTTCAGTAAGTGAAAAAGATATACAAGGGTATGATCTATATATATTAGAATATGTACAAGTTACCGTGACGATAACCCATCCTAACCGTGGTAAACTGTCCTTACAGTTAAAATGTCCCAGTGGTACCAATTCTGTCATAGCTGCTGAGAGACCCCTAGATGTGTAAGTAAATTTTATAGCTGTGGTTGAAAAATGTCTTGCCGTGTGTATGGAACAAGGAACCCAGGCATATTGTGCTTAAGGGTTTGCAAAATTCATAGCTGGAATATTTTTCTTAGAAAGTGATTGGTTTTCTGTTTTCAGATCTAAGTCAGGGTTTTCAGGCTGGACATTTACTAGTGTAAGATGTTGGGGTGAGAGACCAGTTGGTTCCTGGAATTTAACTATCACTGATTCAGGTACCTTTTTACTCATTTTTTTCACAATCAATATTTTTTATAATCCTATTATTTTTATTGTGGATGTTTTTATTTTAATCTACGCTTTTTTTGTCTTTTTCTTTTTGCTCCTCCCCCTTCTTCCTCTCTCTTCTCTTTTCTTGTTAATCTATTTATGAAGTCTGTCAAAGTTTCAGGAAAAGACTTATGCCTATATAGCTCCTCATCCGAAAAGATCATTCAAATCAATTCAAGTTTTCCTCTTTTCAGTCCCCTGTAAACCACATATATATGTTAAAAAAGATTGCAGAAATCTCACAAATGTTAAAAAGTTTTTTACCTTAGCTGATTTCAAATCTTAATAATAAAACAACTTGTTTAAGTATAATGATCTTTTCCTATTTTTGTAGGAACTGGCCCAGAGAAACCAGGTATTTTAAAAAGTTGGAGGCTACGATTGTTTGGTACGCCCATGACAACAGAGGAATTTCAGGACCGGAGGCTGTAAGTCTTATCAAAGTTTTAACGTATTCTTATGAACTCTCACTTCTTTGAAATTAATTTCCTCGTAGGCAGAATCATATGAAAGGTAAAGGTATGAAATGAAAGTAAAATGTGCTTGTTTATTTTTGATTATAGTAAAATTGAGAAAGCTATGAGTGGTGAATATCTAAATGATAGTTATTCGTTACCATGTCGACCACCGCCAACAACTGTCAAATCAGATATACCTATAACACTCAAAACATTGAAGGTAAGTTAGTATTTTACCATCCTTCCAACTCTGATAACTTGATGAAATCAAAACTTTAGTCCAATTGTTTGTTCCACATTTGCGTTTTGAAGACTGGCAATACTGTGCAATGTGCAATGGGTAAATTTAGTCAAAACAGCAGAATTAACTTTGGGATAGCTCTGTTGATCTTTATCGTTGGCTCTCAGTTGTGAGATGGATTGTCTCTAGAATGTTACTGACTTTTGAAAATCATTGATTTTTTCGAAATTATTTCAGGTTTTGGTTCTGGCCAGTGTATTCTGTTTAATTATGGCAATTTACGAAACTTTAGAATACTGCTTGTGTTACAATAAGGAAAAAATGGAGCAGAAACAGAAAATGGAGTTAGCTCTGCGGGCACAGAGTCTTTCAACAGAGACTTCAGAGAGTGTGGGAGAGGAGGATATTACAGAGAGTACTGGATTACTCCAAGGGGAGGACATTCAAATGACTTCATTAGACTTGAACGATTCAGACGATCTCATAAGGCGTAGTGATATTCCAGTCGATTTACTCCAAAAACTTAGTCCCAATGATTCAAGTGCTTTAAGTCACAATCGTGATACGAATATTTGTGATAATTCTGTTCTAAATATTAACCAATCAGGTGCCACCAATTGTGATCATGTGACTATTGATAGACATGCTCAGTTCGATACTTTAAGTCTTTCAGACGGCGAAGAAGAAACAACCTTTGATATCCGGCAAGTGAAAAAAAAAGACACTTTTGATTGGTTGAAATATACTAAAAAAAGCTGAAAGCTAATTTTACTATCAGTATTTTGATTACCTGGGTGCTATTGTGGGTTTTTTAGATTCTATTTTTAACTTCCAATCATTCTGCAGATAAATCACTTTTGATTGGTTGAAATTGATTAAAAATAAGATAATAATTTTACTATCAGTATTTTATTCTGGTGATAATGTGGGTTTTTTTAGATTCTATTTTTAACTTTCAATCATTTTGCAGATGAATGAATTTGTGAAATAACGCAGACTTTTGATTGGTTGAAATATACCAAAAAGATTATCTTGCTATCAGTATTGTAATTGGGTGCAAATGTGGTTTTTTTTTTTTAGAGAATTGACTGAAAATGGCTGAAAAATATTCTACTCTTTACAGTGTCAGACTATTACTTATACCTTGACTGCAATATCCACTATTTTTGTATTTCGGAATGCAGCACTTCAGACTTTTCAACCCGGTTTTCCCCTGTCAGTGATGCAGGTAAGAGGGGCTGACATGGAAAAAGCGTCTAGTCGTTCGGATGGGACTCTTAACCGAGGCCTCGTGTGCTTAAGAAATGTTTTTTTTGTAATGTTTAATGCACCTATGCTTTTTATTTTTGTTGAATTTTTTGGGCTTTCAAGAATTTTTAAAAATGTTTTGTAATTTTGTGATAATTTAATTTATTATATTTCTTAAAATGTTTTAATTTTTGGCTGCATAATTGGGGTACAATTGGGGGTTCAAACCATTCTTCTAGGGAATGCCCCTCTGTACCCATCACTGGCACTGCTTATGTTTTTGGTGGGCATGGTCATTCATCCAGCCTCAGAAGGGTACTTATAGCGTTTATCAAAAATGACTGAACTATTTTGGTAAAAACTTCGTGACTTGTACTTTCCCTTTCAAATTATTTTTTAAATTCCACTTTTAAATTTGTGTATGATTGGAGTATTTTAGTTGTTTAATATATTTTTGATAGGCTTTAGTTATTTGATGTAGTGTTTTTATTTAAGTTTTAAAGTTCGTATCTCTAAATAGAAAGAAGCAAACAAGTTGAAGTGAAATCCGCCATTAGGCCCTAGTCCAACCATATCCCTTTTAAGAACGTGAAACAGTTATTTTCTAATGATGCTTTTTCCAATGTGCCATAATTGTTTTTGAGAAAATTTCAAAGATTTTTGATGTGTTCATTTGTGTTATGTCATATGGGTAACTATAAGTATTAGTCGACAGGTTTAAGGGATAACTTTCAGGGCTAATTTCATTAAATATCAGATCTAGATCTTGATATTTTCTTTCATGTTTTTTCTCTGGCTGACTCAACATGCTATCCATGATCTGACTAAGTGATTATGTGACTGATGTTCTAGGTCAGTGAAATTCTCAACTAATCAAATGCTCTATCTAATTCTGGGATATTCATTACTAATACATTGACTTAAATATTGTCGAGTCAAGCACGTAACTTTTTGATTGGCTTGTATGCTATTGGTCCAACATGCAACTGAACACGATTTAAAAAGGAGTTATGTCTGATCATGGTTGGTGATTGTATTAACCCACAGAAAAAACCCCAACTAAAATCCAGATCTGTATTTTAATAAGATTAAATTAAGAAACACAATTTTGTCAATTTTATGGTATACTACTCCTGGTCCCGTATTCTCAAAACAATCTTAGCGCTAGGATGTCCTAGGTTCTAGGTTCTTATCTTCTAAAATTGATTCTAGGACATCCTAGGTTCTTATCTTCTAAAATTGATTCTAGAACATCCTAGGTTCTTATCTTCTAACATTGATTCTAGAATATCCTAGGTTCTTATCTTCTAAAATTGATTCTAGGATATCCTAGGTTCTTATCTTCTAAAATTGATTCTAGGACATCCTAGGTTCTTATCTTCTAAAATTGATTCTAGGACATCGTAGGTTCTTATCTTCTAACATTGATTCTAGGACATCCTAGGTTCTTATCTTCTAAAATTGATTCTAGGACATCCTAGTGCTAAGATCGTTTAGAGAATATGGGGCCTGAGTTTTATTGTACATGACCTTTAACCCAGGAGTAATATGCTATCTTTATCCCTAATTGTCTCTAAAGAATTATTTCAGGGCTAGCCCCTTTCATCCCCTCAGGACTTGTATTTTTTGGACTTGGCTTATTTATTATAATGTATATATATTTTAATTTTTGATCTATGTGTGCCTTATTAATATGTTCATTAATCATATAATAACATATCCAGTAATAAATACCATATCAATATACAGACTGTGTATTTACAAGCCAGGGATCCCAGACTATCTCTATTGAGAGGAATTCCTCTATCTTTCTAGCCAGTGGAGTTTTATGTACTACTTCTATGTGTCTTATTGGCTAATGACTGGCAATGTCATGCAGTGTGCAATGAGGGAAATTTAGCCAGGACAGTCTACTATGATTATAGATGTAGATTGTCAATAATAAATTCAGTAGAAGTTATACATTTTTATTATAAAACAAAGAAATAGTGAATTTGCTGCCAAAATATAATTATTTCCACCCAGAAAACAAAAAATACTAATTTTAGCCTCGCCAAACGTGTCTAAGGTATAAGCCTAAATTGAATCATAATTTTTTCAAATTTTGTGATAAAATTACTTTGGATAATCAAATTTTTAAATATGTTAAGAAATTATTCTAGTGCGAGGGCCAATCTTCTTTACTGATCATCTACAGTAAAAGTAAATATGTTGCCATTTGTCAGAAACTTGCAAATCCAAAATATTAGTTAATCAAAGATATGCACATGCATGTATGTTTCAAAAAAGGTACAATCCACTTTATTCAGAGGTAGAAAAGATGGTAAATCTTCCACCTACCCTACCCTCCCAGCAATAGTAGACTGGTCCTGTTTTTGTTTTGCACATTATTTCACTTTACTGTGAAAAAAACTATACATATCCAGGTAAGTTTCATGAATAGTCCACTTTATTCAGAGGTAGAAAAGATGGTAAATCTTCCACCTCTCCTACCTCATACCATATTGGACCGGTCTTGTTTATGTTTTGAAATTTCTCTGTATGTGCATTCTTTGACCTACTTTAAAAAGAAATGTACATTTAAGTGTATTTACAAGCACTTCAATCAAGATATAAGTCAAGTAAAGATATTTTCACACATTTAGGACAATTTCAATATAAGAAGAGCAGTCCACTTTATTGCAAGGTAGATTAATAGTAATTAAAACCAATTAATCAGACATATATTATGTTGATTACTACTTAAACTACCTTTAATAAAGTAGACTGCTCTGTTGATGTATTGTATCTCTGGATGAGAAAAGATAGCTTTACTAAACTCTATAGCCAACTATCGCTCTGAATTCAAAACCTATCTTTCCTCTTAATCTACATAAAAATTAATGTAATATACAAAAAGCACCATACATATGAAACACAAAAGCACGATTAGATATTCGGCACCACACATGACATCTTCACCATGTCAGGCTATTACAAACTTCATACTTATACCTTGACTGCAATAGCCACCTTTCTTTTATCAAGGAATGAAGCGATTTGATTGGACTGAACGCTGATTGGCTGTATCCTCAACGAACAATCCAATCAATTTGCTTCATTTACAAACTTCCATGATACAAGAAAGATGACTATTGCAGTCAAGGTATAAGACAAATCTAGTAATAGCTTGACAATGTGAAGATGTACACAAGTCTAGGCTTTACTTTGACCCATTGACCATTGGGTTTATTTAAACCCATTGACCTAATGACCTCACTGATGGTGAAATCCTCCACCTTTATAAATATTAGCTATAAATCTATATAGAATATTGTTATTAAAATATATACAAGTATTTACTATTTACATGCTTTAAGAAATGTTGACATAAAAAAGGTTTTGCACACGGCACATAAGAATTTGAAGTGCAGCCAATCAAATGATAATTAAAAGATTTTGAAAAGAAATAACATTAGAGTACATTAAGATGGTTCTCCCCATTCGCATTACTCTAAGATTCCTGGCTTACAATAACTTTTGAATTATAAGCTTTCAAGAAATACTTGCTTAGATTAATCTTTACATCCGAAATTTTTTACAAAGGATAACTTTGTTAATTTGGCTGAGTGAAATCCAAACTATTTTTGATAAAAAAGGACTAATTCTGCAACTGTAGCACCCTTTTTACATACCTAATATTGCTTTTTTATTCACAATCACCTAATCTTGTATAATGGGTTAATTTAGGATAATAATAAAGTTATAAATAAAAAGACTAATATGATGGAATATTCTGCAGTCTTGATCACTCCAGCATTTTCTTCTTTATCAGCTGCAAATAAAAAAAACAAATTGGTAACTGCTTGATTTTAGATGCAATGACCTGGATTATTCATACTTATTCACAATTGGATCACCAGATTTGTTGACCAGAATAAGAACCATGACCCACATTTTATTGCAGGAGTGAATGCCACAAAGAAGATTCACATGTACTCTTCAATCAAAAAGGTAAAGAAAATACCTCAAACTTTACAAAATAATTATACCAAGCATAAAATCTACAAATGTACTATCCTAAATATGGGAAAGTAGAGAATTTTTCAAGCAAGAAAAAAATTGCTAAAAGAAATGTTTAAGAAAAATTTTATGATGAAAATTATCTGACAATTATTAAATGATAGCTTTAATATTCCAATTCATGATAGCTTTAATATTTCTATTAATAGCTTAAATATTCTAATTCATGATAGCTTTAATATTCTTATTCATGATAGCTTTAATTTTCATATTCATGATAGCTTTAATATTCCAATTCATGATAGCTTTAATATTCTTAATCATGATAGCTTTAATATTTCAATTGTATCTTTTATGTTTCATGACATATTTAAATAATTCATGATAGCTTTAATATATATTTACAAATGTAATATCTCTCTTTATTTAAGCATTATCATTTTTTGATATGCTAATACATGATAGCTTTAATAATGTCCCACCCCCCAACCCAAAGAGGTGGAGAATATAAGACTATAATATGAATACTTACAGGAATGTATATGAGGATTTGGTAAAGTTGGTGTGGGAGGGGTTAAACCAGCTGTGAAAAATACCAAAATGCATGTGCATCATTCAAACATCACACAAAAATAGGTCAAAAATATATCTAGCTTCTATGTCATGTATGAGAGGCATTTTGCTTTAAAACACTATGTGTGATAATGTGGGATAATATTTTCTTACTATCTGCTTTAAATACTGGTAGAACTGAGAGTTGAAATTGAGCTCTATCAGCAGATATAAGCAGGTGAAGCAGTTATTAAAATATATACATCTCTTTAACCAAGGTATTTAAACCAAAAATGACCCAAAAGTGGAATATTTCGAGCTTTAAGGCAAGACCAAATTGAAGAATTTTCTTATTGTTGTCCTAAGTTTTTAGTTTAAAAATTATCTAAAAATAAACTGGCAGCTTAAATCAAAAGTGTTATATCTTAAAAGACTAAGCACAGATATGACAGTGAGATAGCACAGCGAAATGCCTCTAACACAAATAATCAAGAGAATATAATAGGTGATCTATATTATGATGCGCATTATATTCCCAATTATTCAGTATCTGCTTTGCTATTTTCCAGTGGATTATATAGTAGCTTATGGAGTGTTCTTAGAATTTAATTTTGCTAAGGAAAAAACAGTGACAGGAGCCTCTGAGACAGGAGTACTAATACGGAGCAGACTGACAAAATGGGGGGACAACTGTCAGACTGAAATTCAAAATGCAGCAACTCTGTGGAGGCATCATAGATGCAAGTCTCATTTGGCCCCTCCCTCCTTCCCCCTGCCGGCCTGTACCCACACTGGGAAAGAATAATATGAAAATGTGTACAGAAAAAAGACATGCTATGCTCAAAGATGGTGCTTCATGCCAATCCTTGAATTCTGTGAAAAAGAATTTCTTAAAATGATCTATTTAAAATGATAGCATACTAGATTTCAAAATGGCAGTTTTTTCTGGTAAAATTAAAATCATTCCTATTGGCAGCAAACAATGAATAAAATAATGATCAATTGATGAAATGATGAAACAAACATTGTCTTTTTAAGATTTCCCTGACTGCCATTTTGCAGTCTTTTGGCGTCAATTTTGGAGTGGTCAGAACTTCATAGTGGCAAATACTCTAATCACTGTACCCACTACTACTATGGTGGTTATCTGTGCATGCCCACATTAAGAACACTCCACATCACTCTGGGACTGAGTTTGTCAACTCTTCAGGAGAATACTAGATATAGTTTATTACATGGGCTACAAAAACAATCAGAAAGACTGTACCTTTGTTTGTTTCAAAAATAAAAACATTGCTGGCTTCTCCCCAACCGTAATTATTATGTGCTTGTAAAATAACTTCATACATAGTCTCTGGTTCTAGATCTTTGACCATGTAAGATTGAGAATGGATTGGACCAGACGTCATGTCAGCCTCGATATCAACTTCACTCCAATTTCCTGTTAAAGTCTCGTTGATAACCTGTAATTGATATTAAATTGGAGGGTGTGGTGCCAGACAGGGTATTTTCATAATGAAATACTTACTCACTTATGATTGATATACTACCTCATGTGAGAATTTCATTATAACAGGTGTGGTGCCAGTCAGGGTATGCTTACTCTTCTAGACACCTGATGCCACTTTTCATTATGAAATACTTACTTACTCACTTATGATTGATATACTTCCTCATGAGCTGCTACCAATATTGTATATAAGTATGTTGTTTGGTTTTGGGTTTCGTTTGAGGTTCGGATCGTTTGTACTTGGTTTATTTATCATCATTAGGGTCAGGGCTTCAATTTTTGCAATTCTTATTACATTGACTAATTGACTTACATTTCTGATCATTAATTTATAATTATCTAACTTCACCACGGATACCGTCATCCATTCTAATTCAAATACATTAGAGTAGTTCCCCTTGATATCACTCATAATTTCACTCTTACTTGGCAACGCTAAAACACAGAACAGTAATTCAACTGGTGAAAACAGGTTTCTTGAAGACTAAAGTGAGATAATTTGACAGGTTAGTGATTACCTCTATTTAGTCTTCAAGGTTTAATTTTATGACTTCAGATCAAATTCTTTTTTGCATTAGTTACACAGAAGCACAGATTAATAATGCAACTTCAGTACAAGGTACACTAAAGGGAGATAATTTGACACCTTAGTGATTATCTCCCTTTAGTCTTCAAGCTTTAAAATTTTAGCCTTAAATTCAGCTGTATACTAAAGACTAAACAGAGATTTGGCAGTTAAGAGTCTATTACATTTTGGTCTTCATGGATTAATATGCTAACTATTAAAGTGATTGTGAAGAGGTTTTCTAAAAAAAATTTATGTATATAGGGGATAATGATAGCATCAATTTGCACCATTTCAATTTTTAATAAGACATCTATGGTTCCTGCAATTCCACTAAAACTAAGTGTTTGATGATGACAAGTTCTTGGAAAACGTGTCAAAATTTTAAGAATAAGTAAAATAACTTACGTGTTAAGACCAGTTTATGGATAGCTTTTCCTCTATTGTTTTTCACCACACAAGTATAGTTCCCAAAATCAGAATCTTGAAGGCTCTTGATGTACAGTGTGTAGTCTGTTTTAAACCCTTGCTCCACAGCACGGAGTTCTTTATTCTGAGGGAGACTTCGTAGACTTATCTTATCTCCATTGTGTCTCCATTCCACCTTGGGTGAGGGCTGGGCGCTGGCTAGACACGGGACAGACACTTCTTCTCCAGGCCCTGTGATGATTACTTTCTCTTCTGTATAGATTTTAGGAGCATCTGGAATGATTAAAAAAAATATTGTTCATTTCTTAACATTAGTTAGTTACATGGTAGCTTTAAACATTGATATTAACAGTAATATTACATTTCATTGGAGACTGAATAGCATTAAATGGTAGTTTTTATGTTTCATGGTTCAATATCTAATGGTAGCTTTAATATTTCATGACAGCTTTAAAATTCCATTTCATGGTAGCTTTAATATTTCATGATAGCTTTAATATTTTATGACAGCTTTAATATTCTATTTCATGGTAGCTGTAAAATTCCATTTCATGGTAGCTTTAATATTTCATGATAGCTTTAATATTTTATGACAGCTTTAATATTCTATTTCACGGTAGCTTTAATATTTTATGACAGCTTTAATATTCTATTCCATGGTAGCTGTCGTATTCCATTTCATGGTAGCTTTAATATTTCATGATAGCTTTAATATTTTATGACAGCTTTAATATTCTATTTCACGGTAGCTTTAATATTTTATGACAGCTTTAATATTCTATTCCATGGTAGCTGTCGTATTCCATTTCATGGTAGCTTTAATATTTCATGGTAGCTTTATTATTTCATGGCAGCTTTATTATTTCATGGTAGCTTTGATATTTAGAAAACACTCTCAAAAGATCGATCTAAATTTTTCTGAATGATGCCAAAATGATGCTTGCTTACCATATTACCATGTGACAATCATGTGCAGAAACACATCACTCCATTACTACATACTTCATCATATTGCATTCAAATTTGAATTTTTATTGAGTTTGGCCTACATATGGTTTAAACTTGGCCTTATTAACCAATTGAGAACTAACTGTATATAAATATTGTATAAATTCTGTTTGATTCCCCGCTGACATTTAGATCTTAACACATGTGTTAAAGGTGTTCACTTACAGATGTTTTCTAGCGTTACACACCATGCCTACAGAATGAATCATGAATTTCTTTCAAGCTAGGGTCACATTAGAGGTGACTTCATTCACCAGTAAATTTGGCATTAGATTAAAATTGATGGCTATTCACACTGAGTTGATGTTGAAATAAGAATAAAGGCTATTCACACAATGCTCAGAACATGATCTCTAAAGTGCATTAAAATTTTTCATTTTTTGATGGAAGGGATTCTATACACTGGCATTTCTACGTCTTTGGACCCCCACTTTCCATTTTTTTATCATTTTACATAGTGAAAGAATTGATTGTGGCCCCCTGTGAAATTGTGTGGCCTCTGCTTGTCCTAATTTTACCTAGAAACTCCATGGATTCTACACAGGTAACTTTTTATGTGTATCATAGACAACGGAAATAAAAGATAAAAAACCCTGAACATTGTAAAAACACATGTGTTTAATAGAATAAGAAATGAAATGAAATGAATGGAGTTTTACGTCCTACTTTTTTTGCACTAATGAAGACGGGCAACGCCATGTAGGGTGCAATGAGGGAAATTTTAACAGGACAGCGGCATTAGCCTGCTCTTTTTCGATTTCCAACTGTCGAGGGATCTTTAACGTACACAGCCTGTAGCACACAGGGCCTCGGTTTATTGTCCCAAACCGAACGACTAGACGCTTTTTCCATGTCAGCCCCTCGTACCTGCATCACTAACAGGGGGAAACAGGGTTAATAGAATAAGAAGACAATAGCAATGATATAAGGTTGTAAAAACACATGTGTTTAAAAGAATGAGAAGACAATAGAAATGATATCAGATAGTAAAAGCTGTTATTAGTAGTAAACATCTACTAATACTAATTCAACAAATCTTGTTTAGAACTCTGCCAAGTTTTGGTACTATGAACCTAGTGTTATACAATTAAAACCATTGCGTAGTATTCTTTATTTGTACAACTGAGTGATTTGGAAAGTTTCAAATGTCATTTCCGAAAGCGAAAATGAAATCTAACAAGCAGTGGCGGAGCCAAAGGGGGGCAGAGAGGTCAGCCGCAAGTTTTTCGGGCAAAATTCTCATAACTAGATTAGAAATTTGGGCAATCTCAGATATCTCGCCCCCTCTCCCCCCACGGATGTAATCCTGGCTCCACCACTGCTGACAAATTAGACAACTAACAATTGGCTAGCGAAATGAATAAAAAGCTTGGAACATGGCAAAGAATAAATGAAAGGGTGTGGAATTAAGGGACATCCCCATGAATCATTACGTGGGGAGGGGAGGAGGTTTGTAGGGGGTTGTGAATTGCCAAGGGGACCTCAGAGCTCTACGCAATTTAAAACTCAATGATAAGAAATGACAGTACTTTTTCGGCATTATATTATTTGAGGATATTTTTTTAAAAAGGCTGGTATTCCACAGTGTTTCAACCTATAAACCTGTAATTTGGTTTACAAATGTCTGATATCTCTAATATTAGCAGGTCAAAATATTATAGTCTTAGCTTTGATAAATATTTCTTAAATGAAATGTTATCTGTTTTTGGGGGCAACGGGGGCAACAGTGGCCCGGCCACCCAGAATATATTCATACTTACAGAAGACCTTGAGTCTAACTGAGTCTTCTGCATCATCACCAACATCATTACTAGCTATACATTTATATAGACCACCATGATTATACTCTAGACTAGATAGTCTTAATGTATCACCAAATATATAGTCTTCTCCATACGGCATCATTTTATCCTGCAATGAATGAATGAATGAATAGAGTGTGGTTGGATGGATGACTGGATGGATGAATGAATGATTAAAGGAATGAATGGATGAATGAATATATTGGTTTGAGGAGGGGCAATAGATTGTTAAGGGGGGGCTCACTGCACCAAGAATTTAAGCATTTCAAGGGAGTGGGGGTTGGGGGGAGTGGGCAGAGAAGCGCCAACCTTGATTCAGCACAGTGGCATGGACCCCCCTTGATCTCCCCCTGTAGAAACGCAACTGAGTATTCACCTTTATAATACGTACTTTCCAGAATTATAATTATAGTACGTTCTTTAGGCTATATGGATATGAACTGTAAGGGGAGTTAATCCTGTAAGAGGTGAGTTTACAATGATCTAGCATGATATATAATCCTTGCTATTAGATATCAGAATATTACTGATTAATATCTTTGTCTTCTAACATACAATCAATGTTCTAACTTATAGTGCCTTCAGACGACTAAAGTTAAGCCAGCTTAAGTAACAACTGTTCTTCAAGCCTCGTTTACTATTTTGTAGCTTGGACATTACCTTGGAATGTCTTTTTCACCTCATATCTTCAAGAGAGTTTTAACTGCACGCAAACCAGATGCCAGATTTTAATATTGAAAAGTGATACAGCTTAAATGAAGTTCAATCAGCTGGTAAAGGAAATGTGGAGACATACCTGTCTGACCCAGGTAATATTAGGGTGTGGTCGACCTGTAGCCGTACACTGGAATACGATATCATCTCCTAGGGTAGCCTCTACAACTTTGGTCTTGTTCACCATTTCTACAGTTGGGGGAACTGAAAAATACAGAAACATTGTAAGATTGTGCCAGTCAGGTTAGAGGAAGCTTCAAAATGGCTGAAAACTACATAAATATTTTAAAATGTCTATCTTCATTGTCAGTCATGTAAGATTGTGCCATGTCATCGCTGAAACTTCAAATTGGCTGAAAAATACAGAAATATTCTGCTATGTCTATCTTCATTGTCAGATTGTGCCAGTGTTTGATGGACACCTCAAAATGACTGGTTATAACTTCACACAAGTTAATGCTAAAACTAAATTCTATACTTCTGGAACACTTAATGTCACTCTATTATAGAGTTTTTCAACTCATATTCCTTTAGTAGAGTCCACATAATGTATTTTTGAAACTTTTTTATTTGCCAGTTATGTCTGGATGCAGCCTCAAAATGTCTAGTCTAGACCTGGTTTAGTCAATTTTCTCGCATACAAAGTCAGTACTTATAGTTTATTTAACAGAGAAATGAAACAAGATAATGTCAAAAGATAGAAATAGTCTTTTTTCAACTTCAAACTGTCAAAAGCCCTGAATATTTCTAAAAGCTAAACTTTCAACACAATGTGTGTAACAGCTATTAGCATATCAAAATGCATTGTAAAAACAGTATTATGGTATAGATTAACAGGTTTAGTAAATGTTGTGAGCCAAGAATAACAAATCACATCACTGAGTGAAACCAACAGGATGGGTCTATATGATTGTATAACATATATTATGGCGGGAAAACAGTTATATTATTGCATCTGTTTAGCATTGACATCAACCTTCCAGCACTGACGATTTTTTCTTGGCTACATAAATAGGTCTTGGAGACTTTAAGTCCCACTGTTCAAATTGAAATGTAACAGTCAGTATATATCTGATTGTGTAATGTATTGTGGCGGGAAAACAGTTATATTTTGGCATCTGCTTGGCATTGAGAACTCCGCCTTTCATTTTAAATTAGTAATTTGTAACATTTTAGCACCCAAGATTTTGCGAGGAAATTTGGATGAGACTCCTTATTTTCGATTCCAATCTGTCCAAACAGACGACAATCCAACATGCTACTGACGGCACTATTCCACTGTCCTGTCAGACGACAATCCAACATGCTACTGACTGCACTATTCCACTGTCCTGTCAGACGACAATCCAACTTGCTACTGACTGCACTATTCCACTGTCCTAGCAGACGACAATCAAACTTGCTACCGACTGCGCTATTCCACAGTCCTAACAGACGACAATCAAACTTGCTACCGACTGCGCTATTCCACAGTCCTAACAGACGACAATCCAATTTGCTACTGTCACAAAAAAAAAAATGAGTGTTCGAACTTAAGGATGTTATTAATGTAATTGACCACCTTCACCCTGGTATAATTCCCCTCCCCTAATTATAAGGGTCAAAATAACAACCTGACGTCCAATCAACTAGACCGATGATAGCATGTGACATTGAATACAGAAGCCATGTGGTGATGTCCCAGGGGAGATAATTTCACGCTAACAAAAAGCTCATTACACTAAGTGAATTCTAATGAAATGAATAGCTGAAATGGAGTTCTAGATGTACTTAGGACAGGCAACACCATGCAGTACGGAATCAGGGAAATAGCCAAATCTTATGAAATTCATAATGGAATTATTCCAATGTTGGAGCATTTATCAGAAACAGTCATTTAATTTCATGAATGAAGGAAGGCAACATCATGCAGTGTACAATGAGGGAAATAGCCTGACTGATTCATATTTGATTTATAATTGCTCGAAGCTCTTTAATGTACACAGCCAGTAATGCTTTTGAAAAGGAATTTAGGAGCATATCAAAGAATAACATATATATCAGAGACTGCATGATTTTAGATTTTTTTCAAATTTTTGAAAATGTATTTTTTTAGCTCTAGTCAGACAAGACTGGCAAATAAAACCAAATCAACATCCCAGCAATATCATCTATAAACAACAATTCTTCACTGTCAAAATATATTCCCTGCATGAAGCTAATGTCAGACATGAAAAGGTTTATAATAAAATGTTTTGAGAACAAAGTATGTATTCAGTAAATAACAGTAGGCCATTGTAATACTGGTCTACCATATAGCTTATTATCTTCATAGTGTCTTATGTCAAAGAAAAAAAAGTCAGATTTCACTGAAATATCAGGTGGCATTTAAGATATATTTCATCTTATCACAATAAGTGTTAAAATGCATTTTTCCTCAAATTTAGACTATGAGTATTTTACTCAGACCAGTGGCATATTCAGGAGGTGGGGCGTGGCACCATGACCCTTTTTCGGGCCGAAAAAATGACAAATTTATCCTACCTTCACTTCCAAATTTGAGTTTGATGTATTCCCCCCGCCTTCCAATGACTTGACCCCTCTCAAATCAACAAAGCAGAGTCATGGATGCCAACCCCAAATAAAATACTCAAATCACTGAAGTCTGTCATTTAAGAAAGGTGGCTATTGCAGTCAAGGTATTAGATACATTTCTTAGTAGCTCCACATTGTGAAGGTACATTTATCCCTGCAACTAACTGGATGAAAATATTTTCAACTAAACACTAGACTTGATATTTAACCTAGCTAATATTTATAAGTTTAAATTTCAATATTTAAACCAGATTTTCAACATACATTGTATATAAATGTTTATTTTTCTGTTGATATTCAAATCAGATGTGATAAAACTTGAAACTGTAAATTTCTTTTTAATATCTGAGCTAGATTTGATAAGGGAGAGAATCTGTTTGAAGTTTTTGACCTCAACAGGGAATAGACCTACATTACAGCTATAAAGATCACTTATTAGAATTAAAACCCTAACATACTCATTGCACACTGCTTGGCTTGTTTTCATTAGATCAAACAGGAGTAGAAGGATGTAAAACTCCATTCCATTTCAGTTCAATTGGTTAACTGTACATTCATATTTCTTGGGGACATAAATTTTCAAAATTTTGAAACAAATTGAACCCCACAAGTACGTATTACATTTGCTTGTAAATATAAGTTTTTTTGAAATATTTAGGCCTGAAATAATTTTCCCTAAAAGTATCCTAGTCAAAAGGAGAGAAATGATGGCTTACCAGTGACCATGATGGAGTGAAACTGTGAAATAGGAGGGAAAGAGCTGACTTGACATTGATATTTCGCCTCGTCCCCATCTTCAACATCGTTTATCTGTAGATTATAACGCCCTACGATGGAATAACGATCGTTGCTTGTCATTATCAGATGGTTTAAAGATAATACAGTTGAATCTTTTAACCAAAATACATTGTAGGCACCTGAAATACAAAATTAGATTGTCTTATCCCAGTCTATAATGAAATTTAGACAAAACTATCGTTTGGTTTTTATTAGAATTCTTAATATGACCACTTCGATTAGGGTCTACAGACAACCATCTTGAACCTTCGTTAATTTGATGACACCACCAGCCAATTAAATTCTTGCCCTCTACAATGCTTGGAAGTTATGACAGGAACAAAAGATGTAATCTGAGAAGCATAAGACACTGATTGCATCTTTTGTTTGAGGCTTGTTAAATCTTACCACTATTTTGTGGAAAAAAATCACCAATCTTCAGCACAGTTCAGTCATTTTGAAATATCTTAAGGACTTGAATGTCTTATGACATGATATTTCTTTCCTTTTTAATGAAATAAAGATGTAAAATCAACAAAATATGAGGACTTTTGAGTTAAGAACTTCTTAAATTTGCTTAAGAATTGTTTTTCCTACTAATCAAACGCAGAAGTAAAATTTTAATATCTATTTCTTACCTAGATTTCTGACCCGACAATGAATGGTGACATTGTGACCTCTCATGACCTTTATATCTTCAGGTACAGAGTCAAATTCCTGAGCTGAAATGAAGAAGAGAAAAATGAATATCATTTGAGGGTTATAAACTCCCACGCCAGTAGCGTATTTAGGGGGAGAGCCATTGACCCTCATGCCTTTGAAAGGTCTTATTTTGAAGCCCTCTAAATGCTCACGCCATCTGAAAGCAATTCGCTTTTGTGGGTGTCTGGAAGCCCCAGTCCCTCGGCCTTAAGAGGCTACGACCCTTAGGGCTTCACCTCAGAGAGACACCCCTCATTTTTGGCCTCCACCTCAGGCATTTTTTAGTTGTAAATGCTCACAGATCACTTCTTCGTATCTCTTACCCCCCAACCTTACCCCTGCAATTTTTCTGGGCCATATTTCCTTCTTTCTCCACTATCCTTAACAGCACCCCACCCCCATATCAAACTTTTCAAACTGGAGTTTGAGGAAATAAATGAGATGGAACCAGCAGGTAGTTCCATTGCACTAAAAATACTGTTTATTTTCTAAACACAACTCAGTGCTATATATAAATACTAGATCTGTTTTTCTCATCTTCACAACTAGATGGTAAAGTAATGACAATCTTATTGCTAGTTAAATCAGACTCCTAGCTGGTCCCTCTCTTGTCCCTTCCAACTGAAATCCCTTGTCATCCTAGTACTCTCCAAGCTAAGCCCTTGCCATTCTAGTACCTTCCCAACAAAGCCCTTGCCATTCTAATCCCTCAAAGTTAATGTCCCTTCCAATCTAGTCCCTCCCAGCCTCTGCCCCACCTAGTCCTTTTCTTACCTCGTCCCTTCCCAACTTATCTCTCTTCCACCCTTGTCTCTCTCTCCTATGTCCTTTAAAATCTATGCCCCTTCAAGCCCAGTCCCCTACTGCAGAGCCTAACCTGGTCCCCTCCTACTCTTTATCCTTACAAAACCCCCTGAGCCAATGCTGGTACCAAACTATATCTGGAACCATAAGGTTGATATTTGATTGATATTATGATTGATAGGTCAATATGCGATTAGGACCAACTGATATAACAATAGTAGTATTTATATTATAAACAGTATAGGTATGGTCTGTAGGTACTAGTCTACTGTACTAGGTACTATGCTAATATCTTAAAGGGCAACAGGGCACAAAACTTATCATAATCATGTAGACTAGGAAGTTTGGGGGTTGGTTTGTTTCATGATCGTTAAATAATGTATTCTATGCCGGTCTGAAAAGTGGGGGGCATGTAGGGGCGAAGGAATTGTCAAGGCAAGTGTAAGATGATGAGAAATATTCCCTGCCCCATAGAGACGCCATTGTTATAAAACTAGCTCAATCCATCATCTGATTCTTATAATTCATGTCTGTACTTTATATCAGTTTTTCTACAGATGTTACAAAACAGATATAACACTAGTAATCACGATTTTTTTATCTATAAGATGAAGTGGGTGTCTGTAGCAAGTAGAAGTCTGGTGTAAGATTATCAGGAATGTCTGCTAGTTACAGAGTAACAGAAATCATGAAGTTTTCAGGAATTACAATGGCACTTGATAATTACAAGTAGTCAAACATCTGTTTTATTCTGTTCAAACAACCATAAGGTCTTGTAAATATTTTTGTCTCTTTAGCTCTTTTAAAATGAAGGTACAAAAGATATAGTGACGTTTCTATGTATAGAGAAGAAAGTAAGGGGCTTTGTAAGAGCCTTTATATTTCTAGGGGTCCACAGACTGTTGTTTTCTATGTTAAACGGTAAGAAATTTGAAAGTGGGAGGGGGGGGGGGCCAAAATAAACTCTTATTGACCAAGTTTAGACTTTAAATTGCATGTTCATCATAAGAGGTAGTATTTCTCTAAGTTCTTATATCATCCCCAGCAGTCAACTAGTACACTTAATAAGAATGGGCATAGGCATAAGAGACAGGGGGCAGTCAATTATTATTTTTTCGGGCAGCAACCTAAAAAACCTCGGGCAGCCAAGTAGTATTTTCGCATCCTGGCAGTCAGAGTCAGAGTTGTTTAAGAATGGGTAATAAGGAATGCTGTAATTTATTGTGTTTATTTATTAAAGATGGCTGGATGTTGATTACTCTCCCTCATTCAATAAATACTCCCTGTTTACAGACAAAATAATAAACATGACCCTCAGTGTTTAGATCTCTACTTAATTTCCACTTGCTCCTATCAATCATTGCTCATTAGGTTCACAAGACTGGCTGGAGAGGAGACTCTTAGATTGGCTATGGGTTGTGCTCATATAGTAATAGGGGGGTATATGGGGGTTCACAGCAGCAAGCATTTAAAAAAATTGAATGATATTATGGAGGTCTCTCCTAAAAGAGGAGAGCGAGAAGAGAGGATCACAGAATTGGCTATGGCTGCCACAAGCCAAAGTACTGAGGCCTCCCCTAAAGTAAGGCTACAACTATTGTAGGGTGTTGTAAGTATTTTTTATGTGTAGCTGGGACACAGATAGCACCCATTTTCAGTCAGTGGTTCTTGCAATTCCATTAAAACTAACCATTTTTGAGTCACAAAGATCCTTGAATATCATTAGGTGAAATTGCAGGAATCACAGACGTCTGACTGAAAATCGATATGGTGCAAATCAATGCTATCAATGTCCCTGATACACATATAAAAAGTTTAGAAAATCTCTTTATAATCCCAGCAACTAACTGTTAAACTAACCAGAACAATGAGTCATTTGTTATTATGTTCAATGGAGTTTAGTCTGTAAATATGTTTATTATGGAAATTCTCCAAATAATATTTTTCTACCTGAGTCTAATCTACATCATTTATCTCCCTTTGTTCATAAGCTAATCATTACACTATTACAAGGAGAGTTGATTCCAGGTGGACCTTTTTGGGAAAATATACATGACTGGCAAATACTAATATTGGCAAATCAACAGCCCTGGAGATAGTACGGAAGAGCCCCCTCCAGATATATTACTTGCCCCTCCAGATATATTCCTTCACCCTCCAGATATATTACTTGCCCCTCCAGATATATTACTTGCCCCTCCAGATATACTCCTTCACCCTCCAGATATATTACTTGCCCCTCCAGATATATTACTTGGCCCCCCATATATATTATTCGCTCTCCAGATATATTACTTGCCCTTCCAGATATATTACTTGCCCCTCCAGATATATTACTTGCCCTTCCAGATATATTACTTGCCCCTCCAGATATATTACTTGCCCTTCCAGATATATTACTTGACCTTTCAGATATATAAATTGCCCCTCCAGATATATTACTTGACCTTCCAGATATATTACTTGCCCCTCTAGATATATTACTTGCCCCTCCAGATATATTACTTGCCCCTACAGATATATTACTTGCCCCTACAGATATATTACTTGCCCCTCCAGATATATTACTTGCCCCTACAGATATATTACTTGCCCCTCCAGATATATTACTTGCCCCTCCAAACAATGAAGTCTGGCTATGGGCTAGTAACAAGTGTAACATATATTTTAAAATAATGTAAGACAATATCTAGAACTGTGTTGGGATGAAATTCTATTCCTCCATGACAGAAATTCCTGACATTTCTCAAGAACATTCCAGTTGTAAACATTCTGCTAACATTTCTACATGGATGGCATGGCAATGGGGCATGAAGAATTTTAGAATAACATGGCATCAAATCTAAAATGTATAGGGTTTCATGTGTACACTATAAAGTTTGTATACAGAATACAGAATTAAATGGGCTATTGAAGTCTTCTATCACAGACAGACAACACCATGGAGTCCAAGAGGTTTGGGCAGGGTTTGGGGGGTGTTTGATGGGTGAGAGAAGCCCCTTAGACCTTCAAAGCTTCTGCATTTTGAATCTTAACCCCTGGCTGCAGGCTGTTAGGTTTGGGCAGGGTTTTGGGTGTTTTTGGGGAGTGAGAGAAGCCTCTCAGACCTTCAACGCTTCTGCACTTGGAATCACAACCTCGACTGCCGAATAAAAATACTGGAAACAAACCAGGAAAAAAGTATAAAAATTAAAACTAGACATTATGTTTTCCTGTAACAACCAGGCTGGAATAATTACTGCTGTTTTAATTCCAGTTCATATAAAACTGAATAATTTTGAATTAAAAATAGCCGAGTTAGTAACATGTGTGTGTAATAAAAACAGTGTTTTCTGGAGTTATGGAAGTTTTTAGTATGACTCACTAAATTACTAAATTATTTCCAGTTTTTTTTATTATATCATTCAGGGTTCATACCTTCTGAAACTTTTGTTATTTATGAACATCATCCCCCCAACCCCCAAGCCCCACCTTGACCTCACCACTATATGATATTCTCTATCCAATCAATGTTGTTTCTAGGAAACATTAAATGAAGGGGGGGTGTCGAGCAAGTCCACTAGATTTTCCAGTCGGGGCACTAGGCAATTCTTTCACTATATAAAATGATGATAATAAAATTTGTAAGTGGGGTGAGGGTGCAAAAGGCTAGTTTTCCCCTCCCCCCACCATACTAACCCCTCTGTATTCAATCTCCTGGATTGTGTATTATAACCCTGGCTCAGCTCTAAGTTCATTTTGAAAATACGGACCCAAGATGCCAAGAAAAGACCAAGATTTCTAATCCTACAATGTGGTTGCAGAACGTCCAAAATACAGACTACCCTATCACACCCCACCCTCCCCCACCATACCCCTATCTCGCCCCCCTCGCACCACACCCCTATCTCCCTACAATCAAGAAAGAAATGAATATCTAATAATTCATATGATGATATCTAATCCTATATCTAACTAGTCCAGTCATGTTTTATTATAAATATAGCAATATTAACTAATCTCCTGAATGAATGGTTCTATATCTTCTTGTTGGTAATACAGAATATATCACGATCTTATTCTTATAGTCTGGACTACACATGTACTCATTTTTATCAGAAAAAGTATGGAAAGGGCAAATGAAGTAAATATGAAAAAACTAGTCAGAACCATCTTAAGTCAAAAATGAACTGAAATTAAATGAA